CCTTCACCTCAGCTGAGTGATGATGTCACTCATGAGCCATGTCACTCAGACCTGTCTGGGTTGTTATCTGTACGTCAGATGTGATATAGATCTTATATTTCAAATTGGGGGCTAGGAGGTTGTGGCCCCTTCTTGACACAAGTGAATAGATACCATATGATTGAATCCCAGAGATTCCTTTGCATATTTTGTGTTTCCATACTTAAAGGGTATGGCATTATCGATATGAATGCACACTAGACATCATAAAGAATTCATTGATACCATTTATGAAGAATTTTCAGATGATGATCTATTCAACAAAATTAATCAAAATTAGCATTAGCAAGTGCTAGCATGATGTGGTGTTAAGTAGTTGTTGGAGCTCCAGGCTTTTCTGTGCCATGGTAAGATACAGTTCTGATAAATCTTGAAGAAAAGGACTAGTAATGGAGATCACCTAAGATAGTTATTTTAAGGACAAGATAAGACACTATTAGCTAAAAAAGATTAACTGTATAAAGGAAAGATAAGCCCACAGTCACTTATCAAAGACACACTCATAGTGACAATTGCTCACCATGACCTACATGCCTTCTTAACCCACTCACGCCAGGTACAGTTTGTAGCCAAAATAAAAAAATTCGGGGGGCTACAAAAATCAGCGGACGGAGCTTCCCCTGAGTCTGTCCGCCCGCCCGGCTGTGTGCCGCTGCTGTCTCGGAGCGCAGCCCCGATACAGCATCACACTGACGGGACGCCCGGCAATGTTTGTTTTTTCCGGTGTCTCATATATGTGACAGCCAGAACGAATGGGTTAACATTAGCAAAACAACAAACTTCTAATATCTTTGTGATCTGCAATAAAATGAGGAATTACTCTAAGCTTTGTCTTACCAAATATACATGGTGGAGATTTGCTGGCCATTGCCTGAGTGCCCAAAGCTTGGAGGCTATGATCATGGAATTTTGTCTCAGGAAGATGCAGGCTGAAGTTCAAGAATTACCCAGAAGACTGCAACAGTTCACAAATATTTAGGCGGATCGGATCATCACATAGAGAGGCAGTCCAAGTTCTACTTTGCCAGAATGTATATACTGTATATTGTGGTGTGTTGCTTGCTTCTGTCAAAGCACCTTAGGCATAAAGGCAGCACACCATGTTCAGTCATGGCAGCAGTCATCACTTGACACTCCAAGGGCTCACATGGAACTTTAGTATGACCCCAGTATAAAGGGTATTACAGGTGATGGAACCTTTACGAACATGACTTCCATTATATTGTTTGGATTACATGTTATGAGTTGCATATTGGTTATGTTTCTGATGTTACTAAATATTGCTAGGATATTTTCTAAAACCTAAAGCTCAGTGCCCATGGGAGTCACCAGACCTAAGGTTTTCATTTGCTCTACAATCATAATGAATATGTATAGAGCATATATTCTTATGTCTTGACAGGTTAAGGGGAGTAGGATATCTTTGTATATGTGTCTACTTCCTGTTTTTCTTTTCAGCCAAAATATATTGATGCTTTTCATCCTGTTCTTCCTAACCATTAGGGCTTAGATTGTTGTAAATGCAGTATGAACATTAGTCTATGTGAAAATAATACAATCTTGATGATACATAATAATCATCAATCAGTAAAGATTTATATTTATGTACTGAGAGCAACATATGAAATTGATATAGTCTAATATATGACCTAATACTTCCATAAGTACCCTTATATCCATGGAAGCATTATTATGATCATTAATCATTTCCTTAATGTTTATTGACCCATTCATTGCTTGTAGTGATTATTCATGCAATTTCCACCATGATATGTTACTGTTATAGCACCAGGATTGTTGAACAGTAGATAGATTGAGTAGTAAAGTATTGCTGTATGGTCATGTTAGATAGTGAACTTTGCTTAGTAGATATTATTTTCCTATGAAACATAGCAAACATCTTAACACAATCTGCTACATACTTAGAAAATAACACAGTAGCATTTCAGTTTCTAAGTTATAGTTAATTTAATTGAAAGGACATTTTTTAATGGGTTACCATAAATGCATAGATATTGTATGTTCATGATATTATCATATACAAGATTTTGTGAAGCATAATGTAATCCAGCATATAACAGAAATTTCATTCTCTTTAATCTTAATCCTCTTGTTTTCCCAGTTATCAGGGTGTTCAAAAGTAGCTGGCACCCGGCGAAAATTCGCCGTCTGTCAGCCTTTTGATCACTGGGTACTTATAGCAGGACAATAAAGAAAAAATCTATTACTTTTATGCATTTTATTCAAAAACACTGTCTTCATTTGCAAAGAAAATGTATCTGAGGGGTCGCATTTTTAAAATTTGCCAGGCGTTGCCCAGCACAAGGTAGCCCCCTATTTGGATCTAGGTAGCCTGCTACTTTGAAAACTTTAGAAAACCCTGAATAATGCACTCTTTATTTTAATTGATATGAAAATGAGTTCAAACTTTGTCAGATAGGAAAGTTATAATATTTTATGAAATGGATGTTTTATTCTTAAAAAGGTCCTTATATTAAAGATTTTTTTATGAATACATATATATATATATATATATATATATTATATATATATATATATATATATATATATATATATATATATATATATATATATATATATATATATATATATATATATATATATATACAGGTTCATTGATGATTATAGGTAATATTATCCATTGTAAGATTGTCCTAGAATCCTTCTGATGGTTTTCAATTTCTTATTGCAGACTGCATAATGACAACTCAAGGAAGCAGTCTCTTCGCACCTAATTATGGACAAGAGCCGGAATGGGGACAAGAGAGGCCTATAACTTTTGAAGACCTTGGAATACCACGGTCCCAGGCCATGCGGGCAACAGTATTTGGAAATGTACCTAATACACTGTGTTTTGATATTTGTAGATTTAGTAAAATATCTGATTGAGTCATCTGTGTTCTTTTTTCTTGTGCTGGTATTCATATTTTATCTCACTTGTTTTCCAGACAGACTTGTTCAAATTGTTTTTCCATTAAAAGAAAAAAAGACAAGTTAATGGTAGGTTTTTTATTTTTATTACTGTAATTGTCATTCTAGATAAGAACGTGCCAAAGCCTGAGATTTTTGGAATGGATTCTCCTTGTGGGTGGTCTCCTGTCGACCCTAGGAACAATTGGGTTAGCGATATACAGATTGTTTTATCTGCCTCCAGGATCTCAGGATTATGTGTTTGCCATGCTAATCATTTTCCATTCAGGTAAGATGCATCTTGGCAAATGTATATAGAGCTTTTTTTATTTGTACATATCTTGCAGCACGATTTTTTGAGCTTTCTCAATTGTATAGCTTATTTTCAGGAGAATGTTTGTTTGCCTTTATGAACCCATTTTGCTGACTTATTTTTTAATATAACATATCAGATCAGAAGTTATTAACAGAATATGAATATGCTGTAAATCCCCAGTTTAATGTGAAAAAGGGAAAAGGTTATGTAAAGTTATATGTTAAAGTATAAATCTCATACATGGGGAATGCTATCCATATCTCGCAAGAATGTTTATTTTGCACATTATTAAGCAGAGAAATACATGATACCTCCATGAAAACTTTTAGATAAGAATGAATATTGGTTGTTATTTTATATTAGTTGTGTATTATGTTAACAGTTCATAAAGAAATAAAAGGCACAATAATAGTTATTATGGTTTATCAAGAAATTCATTATCTCAGATGCACAATGTTTTCTTCAAAGAAACAAATGATATGGGATGTTTGTATGAGGCTAGAGTGAGGTCTTACTTTACTCCGTTTTTTTGCTTGATGAATATGTATTAGAATGGTATTTTACTGGTCCCCTAGCATGCAAGTGTTGACATTTCATTATGATTTTGCAGATATTACAAGGCCTTATCTTTTTATTTTTAGGCCTTGTATTTAGTGTTTTTCCACTTATGCTATTTGTTGTGAAATACAGCCAACTCCAGACATAGCTCGTTATTTGGGTTAAATTTATAAGATTTTTGAAACTGAAGATGAAGTTCGAAGTATGCTAATTGATATTAATGCTTCCCAGCAGTCAGGATTATATATGGCTAAAACATTTTGTCATTTCTTACTGTTTATTCATTGTTAGCTTTATGAGATATTGGAGAAAGAGGTTTACTCATAATTTTCTATATGCATTAATCTTCGCAGTTTAATATGTCTTAAAAGAGGCATGAGGGGAAAAAATGTATCTATTAGATATATAACTATGACATAAAACCTTACCGTTTAACAAAATTGATGGGCTACTTGAATATAAATTAATGACTTGGTTAGGTATAGAATACAAATAATTCTCTCTTCTTATCACATTTTTCTTTCCCATATTTTACAACATTGTCCCCTACAAGGTGACTGTTCTAAGTTTCTTAATTTGATTCCCATGTAACAGTTGGAAATCAATTTACATGAAATATATGTAAAAAAATATGTTGTAAATGATGTAGATACAAGATATAAACACCAAACTTTGTCCTTTCAGCCTTCTGTATTATATACATCGTAGATGGGGTATTTCGGGAGCAAGCTTTTGAAGTCCTTGCTTTTGTAGCATCATGCATAATATTGATAGTCTACGTTGTGATTAATTATGCCAAGGAATCTTCCACTTCTGATACTTTCAAACTGGTATTTATCTTTTGTTTCTACTTCTAGAGCAAAATAGAGTACTTATGCAGATGTAAACGTAGATGTGACATGAATATGATGTAGATTGATGGATGTAAATGTTTTTATATTCATGGATAATTGTTCTTTGTATGTTTTATCCATATATAGTAGGAGTGACATGAAAAATAAGGTGAAATGCATGACTAATTAGTTGTTGAAAATGTAAGTATAGAAATGCTTATGAAACATGATTTTTTTTTTTTTTTTTTTTTTTCCTTTATTCATTTACCATGAATTATTAGAATATCTTTCATACACTACGTATCATATATGGGTGTAAAACTATACACTTGTTTCATCTAACTATATGGTTTAATTTTTTTTCTTTTCTTTTCTTCTTTTTCTTTTTCTTTTTTTTCTTGAATAAAGGTACGTCTTATCCTGACTCTCGTATTTGGCACCAGTTTGGGCACCATTGGGACCTTTCTCGGCTACAATTACTGGCAGTCGGGAAACCTCATTTTTAGAACTGTTGGCGCAGATAGCTCCATCCAGGATATGTGTAGAGTTCTTTTTACAACAGTGACCCTCATCCTGTTTGACATTCAGATTGTGGTAAGCTCATTGTTTTCTGGTTTGTGTGTAGATGGTATTTTATATACATGATCTTACATTTATCAAGACTTGTGATATCATATTTTGACCTGGTAAATCCTTGGCCATGGAATAACTAATTTCTATTTTATAGGCCAAGTAAATTATGTGCGAGTGATGATAGGTAATACCAGAGTGCATAGCATTTTTATATTCACTCTAACAAGCAGTACATTGCTTTGTTCTTGAACCATTATTCATATATCTTGCTTTCTTAAAAACAAACATTTGCTCTACAACTTTCATAACTTTTATACCATATCCCCAGGGGAGTGTGGTAATCATGGCTATGCATCACCGGCTGTCTGAGCTTGATCTTGAGGAAATTCTGACTGTAACTGTAGGGGCTCCAATGTTACTTGCGTGGGCGACCATTGCGTACTTAGCGGTAAGTGAAATATAGGAAGCTTGGTTCTGTTGTATGGTATCTCTCTCTGTGTGTCACTCTCTCTGTCTGTCTGTCTGTCTGTCTGTCTGTCTCTGTCTCTATCTCTCTATCTATCTCTGTGTCTCTGTGTCTCTGTGTCTCTGTGTCTCAGTCTCTCTCTCAGTCTCTCTCAGTCTCTCTCAGTCTCTCTCAGTCTCTCTCAGTCTCTCTCAGTCTCTCTCTCTCTCTCTCTCTCTCTCTCTCTCTCTCTCTCTCTCTCTCTCTCTCTCTCTCTCTCTCTCTCTCTCTCTCTCTCTCTCTCTCTTCTCTCTCTCTCTCTCTCTCTCTCTCTCTCCCTCTCTCTCTCTCTCCCTCCCTCCTCCCTCCCTCCCTCCTCCCTCCTCCCTCCTCTCTCCTCCCTCCCTCCCTCCCTCCCTCCCCTCCTCCCTCCCTCCCTCCCTCTCTCCCTCTCTCTCCCTCTCTCCCTCTCTCCTCTCTCCCTCCTCCTATTTTCTCCCTCCTCCCTCCCTCCCTCCCTCCCTCCCTCCCTCCCTCCCTCCCTCCCTCTCTCCTCTCTCCCTCCCTCTCTCCCTCTCTCCCTCTCTCTCTCTCCCTCTCTCTCCTCCTATTTTCTCCCTCTTCCCGCCCCTTTTTTAACAACCTGAGGAAGCAAGCCAAGGCATTTATGCAAAGTTCTCTCTCCCTCTTTCTTTCTTTCTCTTTCTCTTTCTCTTTCTATTTATATATCTCATGAAGTATTGGATATAAGTTTTGTATATTTTTCAATATATATGATCTTGTACTCTCTTTCTAAGCATCACCATCTATTTCTTGAAGGAACATCAGATTGAAATGCTTTATTCCTCTTGCTACAGTGTTTGTCCTTTTCTTAACAGTTACGTCTCGAGAGCAGATATTTCTTCAGTGTTGCTATGGTTCTCAGTCCAGGTCATGTGGCCTACCTCATCTTATCTATCACGCAAGTAGGTGTTCTTGTTACTATTTCTATTTCTGTTTGTGCTGAGATGACTTTTTAGATTCACTTGTAAATATGAGGGTATGCTGTGTCCAAATATGCTCTCAGGATCATTATGTTCCCATTAGTGTATTATAATCAGTTGATTAATGTGAACATGTCAGTGCTATGTTACAGATGAGAGTTTAAACTAGTAAAACATTTGATTAACACCTTTTTGGGCAAGTGGTCCAAGAACACCTTTGACCACCCATGCCTACATATGTAGGTAACTATGAGGCTTTTGTCAGAGAAATGGGAGGAAAGGGAGGACGGGTGGACAGGAGGATGGGAGAACTGGATGACGAGAGAGGGAGGGAGGGAGAAGACAGGTAATTGATTAAGCACCTGTGGAGCCATCTGTGTGGGAACGCAGTTAAATAACCTGAAATTACAGTAGACGCAGCATGTTTGTACATACCATTCCTAATGGGAATGGGTTAATGATTTTATTTGTCTTATCAACAGACTGCAGTGAAACATGAAACTACTATCATTGCTCAGTGCCGTTACGCAGCCAGTGCAGGAAGTTTGATAGTACATTTGATCTTAATTATTCTTATGATCAAGTGTTACAGGAACTTTGGCTTAGGACTCAAAGAAAAGGGTGAGTTCTGAAGTCTTTGCCTGGTGTTACTCGGGTACTTTTGCTATTTTTTTGTACTCTTCTTACTTTCTGGTTAAATGTGCTTATTTTCTAATATTAGGGACTTCACTGTTAAATGTTATTCTGCCATCTCTGTCTTTTGAAGATTGTTAGTTCTAAGCAATTGTAGCTCCACAATTACATAGTCACCAAGGAGTCAATTGATAGGCCTACCTGACCTCACCTGATTACCACATTCCTTTTTATTGTTATTGTTGTTGTTTTTGTTTTTTGTTATCATCATTATCATTAATATGATTATTATGATTATAATGATGATGGTTATCATTATTGTTGTTATTGTAGTTATGATGATAATGATGATGATTGTATTGTTTTCAACAATAGAGATTTTAAAAAAATTATTTTCTTTAAAATCAAGTAAACTCAAAATTACATTGGAGTGAGCATGGATGTACATGCCCTCCTAGTGCATACAGTTTTTTAAAGAATTTAATAAAAATTATGTTTAAAAAATCACCATTCTTTATTTTCTATACTTTCCAGTGTACCCACCACGGACCAATGAAGTCAGGATACAAGAGGATCTGGTTCAGTAGTGTTTGGTGGCTTGTTCTTCATGATTTTATATTTATGTTGTATGGGGTCGCAGATTCAAATGAGAAAAACGCAAAATTAATTAGGACGAGATTACTGAAAGTGAATGTCCTTCTTCGTACGGATTATGGCTTGAGGAAAGTCTTAACCCATTATCGCCAGTATATTTTGAAGCCAAAATAAAAGTTTCCGGGCAGCTACAAAATTGGCACGAGGGGCTGGCCCGGACTCTGCCTGCATGCTGGCCACGGCCTGCTGCTGCGTCAGAACACGAGCCCCGATACAGCGTCACACTGGCGGGACGCCCGGCAATGTTTATTTTTTTCGGGTGTCCCACATATGGGACACCCGTCATTACTGGGTTGAGTATGAATAATCTATTTATTTTGAATATTGTGTATAGGATATGTTGAAATGTAGAATATTTCTAAAACTGACAGATTTGAAATTAGATTTTATATATCATAGGGTGAGATATGTATTGAATTCAGAAAAAAATTAAATTATGCATTTTGAACTATTTTAAGTGAGGTATGTTTTGTGCAGGCAGTAGTAGTACATTTTGTAAATTATTAATTTAAATTTAGATTTTTTAGGCTTTGAGTAGAATTATTCTGTAAATGGAATATTGATCTAGTCTGGTTTCAGTTCGAAAGATGTACTCTAAGGTCTGTAGAACTGGGTATACAGTTCACTTATTGCTTTACCATATTTATGAGCTGTGAATAGAGATATAAAGTTGTGTAGCTTGGTGCTATAGGTAGATAGATGTATGTATCTATTGAAATAGATGGTAAATGAAAAACATTATAAGTTGAAGGAGATGCCTTTGTATTCAGTAAAATACCTGGGACAAGTCTGCTCACAACCAATTCACTCACCTCATAATACTCACAGTCAGTCACTGTAAGATTGTCTTGATTTCGCTGATAATTGTACATGCACACTAATTTGTTCAATGTATGTTAAAACCCACAATTTTCATTCAGGGTCTATAAAAAAGTATATTTAGGTATTGCACTTATGTATTGTATTTGCTTGAATAATCTCTCATATTATTGTGCAGTGCCATATTCAGTGACTAGCACCTATTAGTTATTGAATCTATAATTCATTTACCTGTCTTTGCCATTTTTACCTACTTCATTAACAGTATAAGTTATTCATTCATTCATTTGTTCTTTTTGAAAAAGTGATTGATTTAGTAACACATTTTGTCACCTTTCGTATTTAGAGACATTTAGATACATACACTCATACATGAAATGTCCACACTATTCATATCTTAATTTCATTTCACTTTTCACACCATATCAGAAAATATCGCAGTTAATCATTCACACCTATTTAACTGTCCTGAGATTTTGATTCTACCCTGATTTATAACTGTGTGATATCTGAACTGTCTGTCTATTTCAGGGTAAAAGAGGCACTGTGCTATTTGTATAACATTCCTTGCATATTTTTATGCTGTAATATTGATATGTGTTGTTTTAGAACTATAGTAAGCAAAAAAAAAAAAAAAAAAAAAAGATGGAGATAGTGGTTATGATTACCTTCTGTGAAGGGTGTCTTTGGTCCTTTGAAAGGGAAACTATAAAGCATGGCGAGTGTTCACATAATACTCTTTATTAGATGATGTTCCTTAGTGGAGACCTGATAGTAATAGAAGTCATCATTAGTTTGAGTGAAGTGATAGGACGTGGTATAAGTTATCAGTATCATCTGTTTTATATGATCTCTCTGCAGCATTGAAATGAGGAAAGAATTAGCATTATATTATAGAAAACAAATGTAGAAACAGTTGTAGAGTGACACTGATTTCATGCTTCATTTGTTTGATTTACTTTCAGATGCTGATATAGCTGATGTGTTTAATGCTTTTAAATAGTTCTTTTTTGCTTTCTATTATTTAAGTTTACAACTTGGAAATAATAGTGAACTTCAGCACAGATCTATTAAGCAGGTTATACAAGGCAGGCAAAATGTAATTGGATACCAATAAGTTTTTGTATGGACTTAAGTGTTAAATAATTAGTTCAATTTTAACATCAAATTTTATCTGCAATAGGTTGTAAGGGCAGTGAATGCTTTTTTATCATACTTTTACAGATGTGGCCAGTTCTTGACCTACAAGTGCTTTTAAAAGCTTTGCAAGTTTGTTATGTAATCTACTGATTTTGTTTTAGAGGTAGGTTTTGTGTGTGTGTGTGTGTGTGTGTGTGTTTGTGTGTGTGTGTGTGTGTGTGTGTGTGTGTGTGTGTGTGTGTGTGTGTGTGTGTGTGTGTGTGTGTGTGTGTGTGTGTGTGTGTGGTGTGTGTGTGTTGTGTGTGTGTGTGTGTGTTTGTGTGTGTGTTTGTGCTTGCGTGCGTGCGTGCGTGTGCGTGTGTGTGTGTATGTATGTGTGTGTGTGTGTGTGTGTTGTGTGTGTGTGTGTGTGTGTGTGTGTGTGTGTGTATATGTATGTATGTGTATGTGTATGTGTATGTGTGTGTCTCTGTGTCTGTCTGTCTGTCTGTCTGTGTCTCTGTCTGTCGCTCTGTGTGTGTGTCTAAGTATATTTGTTGTGTATGTGTGCATGCAAGTGTCACTGTGTAAGGGGAGTGGATTATTCACTTGGGTCACACAGACAAATCCAGGCATGAGCAGAATTCAGTTGACTGGAAAATTCCATGTCAGATGCATTTTTTCTATTGCATATCTTTTCAGATTTTCAGTTTGCAGAAAAAACAATATGTAAAGGAAGGTTGTTTTCCACTTGATATTCAGTTCTTGAGTTGAAGTTTGTTTTTTGTTTTTTTTTTTTTATTGCAGATTAAACAGGCTTTTGTCATTATAAATATTTTGTCTATTTCATCAAGGTATTGACTATAGAAATATATATTTTCTGCCTTTATATATTTGCATATCTATCAAGTGTGATGATAGCCAAGTGTAAACCAAATAAATAAATCTTATTGTCATTTTGCACAACCGCAATGACCATAGGATTTTTCTTTCAGTACAATTTTCTGTACCTTGGTGATCATGAGCTTCACTTGTTTCTTTCTCTTAGTTTTCTTGTATTTTAAATGTATAGAGTATGGCTGTAGTATATGATTTACTATTAAGTTTACTAAGAAAATTAAAAGCTTGATTATAAGAATGAGCATAACGCTTTTATTCAGTATACGTAAAGAAACTTACTTGTTGTTTGCCCATATTTTTCAGCTACAAATATAGGAAGTGATAGTTTACCAGCAATAGATTATGAATACTTTCATTGTACTGTGTGAACATGAAAGGAATTTTCATTTGGTAATTTTATTTTAAGTTATGGGATTTTTGCTTTTTAGCAGATTTAAAAACAATCAGCATTATAGAAACCCCAACACCTATTACAGACTAGTTTGTTTACAAGACTGTGTATGTTGTAGGGGTTGATTCATATGATGCCTATTTAGCTGACTTGTTTATCCAACTATGTGATGACTTTTTTTAAGTATGGGAAGGATTAAAACTGATTTGGTTTGTAATATCTTATAAGATATAAAATAGGGTACACTGTATTTTTGTACTTTATCGTGCATTTACTGCAAGTAAATTTTCAGCCTTGCATGCAAACCATTGACAGATTTAGCTCTATACAGGTACTCCTAAAATGCCTATATAGTTATGTTTTGCAGAGGGAGGGATAGTTTATGATCTAGCCATTTGATGTCATTTATTCATTCAGTAATGTATCTAAGTTTATGATTTATTTTGGGTTGTTCCCATGTATGTGATGCCCTTTGAGGAAAAGAAATATAAATGTACTTTTGGCTATATATAAGCCTGTTCAACTATTATTCAGTCAGATTTTGTACAGAAGTCTGCCTGTTCAAAGTAATGATGGTTATATTTTATTTAATGTATGCAAAATTGATATAATGACAGCAAGAATTTGGAATGGTAATTATATATTGGGGTAAAAGTTGAACAGTAGTAATGACGTCACCAAGCATTTACTAGGAATAACAAACTGCATTTTTACAAAAAAAAAAAAAATGTTTTATCAACATTTCAAGGAATTTTATAGTATATTTTGTATATATTGTATATTCATGATATGTTTAAAATGGACTTCATTCATGAATACTTGTACCCAAGTCTTCTTTATGTCCTGTATAACATTCATAGGGAGCTGGGGAGAGGCCAGACTTTGAGTGTGTTGTATGGTTGCCTTTTTTGTGTATTTTTCAGTCTTAATTATATGTAATCCACCCTTCAAATTTTATGAATTTAATTCATAGTCATTGTATAGAGTGATAGCATATATACAAAAGTAATGTGTAAACAGTTTTACATCCCATCATTACTTTGGGACTTCTCCACATTTAAATTTATTTACCAAAAAGCACCAATTACTACAAGCATTTGAAAGACCACTCCAAAACTATTAGGGTTACCTCAAACAGTACCTGTTAAAAAATAGTACAAATAGATTCAAAGTATCACTGAGCAGTACATAGTACTCTATTTGCAGCAATTACAGCTTTGTTTTACCTTCATGTTTTGGTATCAGTACTGCTAGAGACACCACAGTTAGTTTGGGAGCAGTTTTCTATTGATTGCAGCAATTAGTACTTTCACATATATTAATTTAGAAGTGGATGATTATTTAGTTGTAAGTACCTCTGCTTGTAAGTGGAATGCATTGTAATCTTAGTTTGTGGTCATAGTAATTTATTATTATGAATCTTCTGTTATTATGCTTGCTTGCATTAGTTTCTTGTTTGGTCCTCTCCGTTCCAAAGAATTTACTGAAAAGGATGGAATTCCTTGTAGATGTTATGGCAGATTTAATTGTATAATTGGATATACTTATTTTCTTTTTTGTGAAGTACACCAAGTACCAGCTCTGTTTTTTTTCTTCTTCTTCTTCATTAATGTCTTTATTCATGTGATTTTCATGAATGTTTTTGTTAGGAACTGTACTCTGATTAATTTTGTTACAACAAGAAATAAAGTAATCCTCATAATTTTAATTTTTCTTATTTATTATTATTTTTTTTTTTTGGCCATTAGGAATTTTGTTGTCATGTTTTACCTTCTTTTATTGTGCCACCTCTTAAAACCTTCTCCCATCGTGGGGGTTTCACATAAGAAAATTAACTCTTACATTTGAATTGTGTAATTGGAGGATTTACTTGACATCATGGAATGTGTCATTCCTTCATGGTTTATACAGACTTAATCCTGTATGTGATACTCAAGTTTCATCATATTTTTTTCTATATTTGTATGCTTTATCTTTTATAAAACAATAATCATCTGAAACTAGGATAATCCAAATTTGACTGTTTTAATAACCCCCATAACTGGTAGCCAGGGAATGATTTTACAATGGTTAATGACTTAAGAGACTGCACGTTAAAATTCATACAGTACATGGGATAGTATGGTATCTAACAGGTACAAAGGGATGAGGGTAATGAGGGGGAGAAAATGAGGTAAGACAGGGAATAACAAAGGGAAAGGGTGATTAGATCAAATGGAAGATACAGGTCTGTGAGAACAGAGACCTTAAATATTCCAGTGTGGAAGAGCTATGACGTAACAGTCGATGAGTGATAAGGGCGAAAATGGTTGTCGGAGAAGTAAGAGGGAAAGAACCCTGGGAATGAGACAAGGGATTTGAGGGAGGAGATAAAATATCAGGAGGGGAAGGATTCAGGAAGGCACTGCTGTGACAAAATGGTATCACGTGTATCCAGAAGGGAGGAGAAGGAAGAGGAGAGTATAGATGGAGAAGGGGAGGATAAAATGTGTTAGATGTCAAAGATTATAGAGCGTTATAGGATAGCATGGTTGTGAAAAGGGTAAAGAGGAGGAGCAAATGAAGTAGACCAGAGATTAGTAAAAGAAGAAAGGGTGTAGGGTGTTTGGATGAAATGGAGTGTATCTGTGGCTAGGGAATGAATAGGAACATTAAGGAAAATTGGCAAAAGAGCCATTGGGAAACAATCAATGGGTAATAGGGTAGAGATGGCTGTTGGAGAAGTAGGAGAAGAATCCAGGGAATGAGATACGGGGACTGGGGAAGATGGTGAAGTATCAGGAAGAATGTCAGAAGGGGAGGGATCCAGAGAAGGACACTGTTGCAACAGAAGGGATCAACATGAGCATCCAGGTGGGAGTGGTAAGGATAATGGTAAACGAAGAGGGAATGGTATATGTGGAGAAGGAGAGGATGGGGTGTAATGGGAGAGTGGGAGGAAGAGGGGTAGGGGGAACTTGAAGAGGAGGATGCATATTGGCAAATACTTTGAATATAGAGGGAATAGAAATAGAGAGATTGGAGGGTGGATGAGGGAGTGGAGCATTCTCGTGGGTCATGTTTAGAAAGTTTTGAATGTCTTCAAGAATTTCTGGAGGGGAGTTGGGTGGAGAGGTCTGGTAAACAAAGGTTCTCTTCTGAGGAGGAGAGGGGAGCTGAGAAAGAGGAGGGTGTAGAAGATGGAGTGGAACGTTTAGGTTACTTGGTGTGACAGGTAAAGTGAGAAAGAGGAGGGGTAGGCATTAGAGATGTAGTAGAGACTGGAGTATTTGGATTTAGACTGGAAAATTAATTTGACTTGGGAATTGGGGGAGTAGAGGTAGGATGGTTTGGGGCAGAAGGCAGAGATACTGGGGGATATGCTGTGACATTTTGAGAAGATGGGAGGGGAGCAGAATGAAGGAGTTTTAGAATAGGTAGAGAGAGACCTTGTCGCCATGCTTCCTGACTGGCGCCATACTGGCCTGACGAGGCATAGTTTCAATCTGAACTGCTACCTCAGATTAAAGCTTATAAGCAGGGTAGCTATGAAATAGTATGGGTGCCACCACAATTGGCATGCATATGTGACATGACCAGAGCAGCAGGCTGTGTAGCGACAGTTTTTGGCTGGTTGACCTTATCACCAACAATTCTGACACTGATAAGGAAGGGGTCAATATGACAGACAGGACAAGACATATCAACTTTGCCTACTCATTTTTAGAGACATGGTTGAAAGAAAAGGGTATTGTCAGAGTAAGGAGCTGTAGTATAAATCACAAAGAATCGACCTCATTTGGCTGAGCCAAAGAGAATACTCAGAAGGTTTGAGGAGGTGGAAGCAGTAGAAGGACAAAGGCAGGAGGAAGATGGGCTGGTGTGGGGTGAAGTAGTGTAGCAGACCCCGCAACCAGCAGCACAGCATACCTTCCCCTAGGTTGGGTCCAGGTCCATCAGCCGGTCCTCTCGCCCTCACCATCAGCAGCTTCTCGAAGACGCATACCGAGACCTGATAGGTTGACACCG